TCTGATTTCTGTGTGTCTATGAAGTGAATATCACAACAAAACAGGGACATCGGAATCTGAGTCTCTCGTTCTGGAGTCCTTTTTGTGTCCGTGTCTTGTCCCCGGGCTGTCAATCAAACGCCATCAATGCCTTATCCACATTTGTACTTGCCTCATGTTGCATTCCCTCTCCCTCTCTCACTGCATTTGCAATTTCCACTTTTTCCCACATTTGCATGCAAATTTCCAGAAAATCCCTTAATCGGCAATATTTATTGCTTACACGCCGAAATCAAGTTTCCGAATTCCGAAATCAAGGCTGCACAAATTAGGCAAATCCGGGCCACCCATATGCATATCCCCGTATGCGTGCGAGTCAAGGGTTTATGCCTAATGCATTCGCAATTAGTTTGCCAAAACCCATCCGCCATCCGCCAAACCCTTGCCCCGACTCCGACTCCGACTCCGACTCTGAATTTATAATCGATTTAGATCAGTTTTGCAAAACTGCCAAACACCCAAAGTGGCCTCCGCTTGGGCCCCGGCCTGGGCCTGGACCAAATCCACCCCGAAGACAGAGACAGGGCATCCCCCTGTAACCCTTCCATCAAACTCGATCCCCGATGCTGATGCCGGCGTTGTTGCTGTTAATTTGGATTTTAATGAAGCGCGAATTACAAAAACATGGAAATCGTATCAATTACAGAGACAAAGATCTCTGCCTCAGTATCTGCCATGAAAAGCGCAAACATGGGCTTGGATTTTGATTTGAATGGGTTGAATGTTCGCAAGGATGATCCTCAACGGGTCGGCCATTTGAGATACAGATATGGATGTGCATATGGCTTATTGGGGAAGTTTATCTGATATCTCGACCGAGCTTTCAATTTAAAGAGGGAGATCATCTTGAAGACACATAGATATAGCTTATTAAGGATGTTATAGGTAGGGAAAACTAAAGAACTGCCGATAGACCAAGCATATGGCTAATAGTTCATAACAATATCTAAAGAATAGTATCTGATAGAACATATATCTGTCAAATGGCCATATAGAGAGGGTATCGAAACGACTAGAACTAGGACTAGGACTCTCCTGCTGTCTCCGCTGTCGCTGTCCGCCAGACGAACAGTAAGGTATGGTACGGAAAGTCATTTGCAATCGAAGTGGCACAATGACATAACAAATCTATCGATCTATGTGTGCAGGATCACAGCTGCCTGGGACTGACTGACTGACTCTTGACGGACTCAAGGAGCTGCGTGATCGAGCAACCGTTTGTGAAGTACCCAAGCGGCAGGGAAACCGACTTCCACGAACCAAGCCCCTTACCACCACCAACTTCGTACACCCACAATCCTTAAGGAATACGCAATCGGAGCGGGGTATGGGTATGGGTGTGGGTGTGGGTATCGGAATGGGAATCGCATTGCCATTCGTATTACCATTGAATGGGTCAATGGGTCAAAAGTTGATGTGAGAGCTCGTAAAATCTGAAGATCGACAGGAGACGTCACATAAACAGTGCGCGCATAAAGACGGAACCCGAGCCGAGCCTGCCGAGCCGGGCGGCTGCTAATGTAAGGCACGAGACCTCATCTGGGCCATGGCCAAGAAGGCTGCTGCTCGCAGCCGGCATCTGGACAAATATTTACCGAAGCTTCGCTCGTAAATTGCTCGCCTACGCACAATGCGATCCCATTCCGGTCTCGAGACCAAGTACAAATCAAAGTGAAAGTAATGACCAGCGGGGAGGGAGACAGTGATAGTGGTGAGAGTGAGAGGGCTGTAAAGATTCCCGCTGGACAGAGACATTAGGCTACTGTTTTTGTAGTCCCGACTTCTGCTGTTGGCTTCTGCTCCCCCTCCCTCTCCCTCTACCTCTCCCTCTCTACTCTCTTCTGCTCAACGACAATTGTTCCAGATATTTTTTGGACAACACACGAGACAAATCTGGGCTAAGACACCTTGCGACGTCGCCGTGTGGGTTTCCTTTCTTTTTTACAGTTCCCCGACAGCTGGCCCTGGTCCATTGTCCGCCGTTGGCAGAGGCAAAGCCAGGCCGGGGGGACAAAGGAGGCATTTGACAGACCGTTCGGCAGGGATTTACCTGCTTAGAAGAGAAATGTAGCTCAGGAGGAAGAGAAAGCCGGAATGAAACGCAAGAGAGGAGGTCCTGCTCAACAGGCAGCCGCTCTCTTGCTTTCACTCGCTGGCGCCGCCTGTCGGCGAGTGGCTGAAGCTACTCTCTGATGAGTCGGAGTCAAAGTTTAAGTCCTCGGATTTACCTTATTTGTGGGATATTTTATTGGTCTGACGACCAACTATATCTTTTAACATATATGTTATCATATGTTTCCAGAACTTTTGAGAACCGGTTAATACCAAAATTTCTTTGTAGATCTGCAGAGTTCCACATGACTCTCCTCCCCTGCGTCATTCCTTTGCCGGCCAGCTGAGATTCCGTTACAATCCGATGCAAAGAGACAAGAGAGCGCTCACTTTCGCTCTCTTTCTCTCTCTCTCTCGGTAGCGCGCCTGCGCAGTGGTGGCTTTTCCGAACGGCGCGCGTGCTCAGTAGATACATTTGCTAGCAACATTCAAGCAGAGTTGGGCAACATTCGAATGCCTGTGGAATAGGGATATTATATGATCGAATTGGCGAGTGGTTTGTAACACACTAAACTCTGGGGGCCGTAAGTAATATAAAATATGCATATGTATATTTTCAATGAATAGATAATGGATGGGAAATGTGGCAGTCGGATGGGTGCAACCAAATAATGTAAAAACAGGTGGTTCTGAGTAAAAGTCAATGCTACATATTTTTGACATATTGCCATTTATTGAGAAGCATCCAGAAGAACTGGATCAGATAGGGTATAACAACGTCCATGATCCACCAGTCCAAACCAGTTTGCAGGCAACATGAGTACGTACTACCAGCAACATGAATGAGGAAACTGGGCAACATGCCGGGCCGTCGGGTGGGTACAATGGGAAAACCGAAGCACTGCGGAATTTGCGGCATCAATACTCTTTCGGCCACGGATAAGGAAACAACATAAATAGTGTCGAATTTTTTTCTGAATTCAGAAAATTAGTGATAATATATCGCAAAAAAAAAAAAATAAATCCAACAAAATCAATTCAAAATTTCTTATAAAAATATAAAAATATCCCCAGCAGCAGTTCTTCATTTCCGTTTCCTCGTTTTGGAAAGCTAAAGACGGGTTTTTTTTGTTTCTGTTTAAAACTTTGTGCAAATTTGAAATCTTACAAAATCCATTTATTTGGGCAACTTGTGTTCCTTTGGGAATCCTTCGAGAAGCGACGATAGAGAGCGCGGATAGAGAGCTGTGGTGCAGGACACAAGGCGACCTAGTCGCAAAACAGATCAAGTTTCCAGGTGAGTAATCGTATACGTACTTTAAAGATTATGCAGCAAACCTGATCAAACGGTCATTCGAACCGTTCGAAAATAAAACCCAGCGAACGATGGATCGATCGATCCATCAATTGATCGCTTGATAAGCTCGGTATCCCTTCAATCCCTGCTCGGTTTCCCGTGGCACACCTGGCACACACACACGCACACACGGACACACACGGACACACAGACAAAAGGGCACGCACACATAATAACGATCGCACCCATGAGACAGTCGTCGTGTTTGTCTTTGCTCTAGCTCTAATTTTAATTTAGCCAGAAAAAAAAGGCTGGCGATGGAAAATGGGAAACAGAGGAGAAAAAAACCCTAAGACCCTAACCCCTCAAGACACAGACACAGAGAGACCCAGAGACCCAGATCCAGATCAGGGCGGAAGGAGATCCACAAGAAAAGGGGTGGTGCGTCGTCTAATACATTTAATTTGTTGCTGTTTTTTCCTCCCCTGCTGCTGCTGTTGCTGTTGCTACCCCGAGCTAATCCTCCAGGCACAAGTCACACGGAAGAGAAAGGACGGTGATGGGGGGGGGGGAGGGGGGGAAAGGCAGGAGTAAGATCGACCGATTTTTGGGTAGGAAGAATAATATTTTTTTTGCTCGCCTTTGCAACGACTGCAGCTCTTGTTCTCGAGGAATTCTGCTCGGCTTTTCATCTCTGGGGTGACGTTTATGGATTACATGAAAACCCATTTCTCTAGACCTGTGTCTGAATGCGTGCCCGTCCCCGTGTCCCCGTGTGCCCGTGTGCCTGTGTGCCTGTGTGCGTGTATCTGGAAGACAAAGACAAGGATCTGGGACGGATCTTTTGAGTCCCCCTTTGGCTTTGCCGATTGCCGCTTTTTGCAAAATGGCATCATTATGCTGGGGCGTAATTGTTGCACAGCCAAACAGATACACGCACACAGATACACAGATACACAGATACACAGCTACACAGATGCACAGATACACAGGGACGTGTAGAGGGATGGGATCCGCAGAGCAGGATCCTTGCCGCACATCGCGACTCGCTCAATTTTATGGTTGGCAACCGCAGCGCTTAAAAAATCTGTTTGCAAATTAGCATAAGTTTAATTTCAATTTAAATGCAAACCTGAAATCGCAAAAGCGCGCACGAGAACGAGGCTGAGCGAGGCCTCAAGGATAAAGGAAGACGAGGGACCTCGCCTCGGAGTACGTGAAAAACTCGTTTGCCGCAAAAACAATTTGCAAAATTTCCTGCTTTGTGTGCCCGCCGCTGACGGCGGTCCTTTGCCCTGCGTTTTCTTCCATTTTTGCATCAAAATTGTCTGGAAGTTTCCAAAAACAAAAACCAAGAAAGAACGAAAGAAACCAGAATCTGTCGTTGTTGTCCTGATCCGATCCCCTATTTGCTGCCAGCTGCCCATAAATCCAAGAAACCATGCCACAGGCCTCAACAATTTTCTGCCACAAGAATATAGAAATTATCATCAGAAGATACGGCCAAAAGTAGCATCATTCGCCCAAGCTTAAGTCCTTATAGAACCCAGCCCAAGCTAATCCTTCTCTCCTCTTCTGCCCCTCTTTTCCCGCCACAGTAGGGAGGGACGACATGCCAACCATGACACGAATGCATCGGCACTCCAGCTCCAGCGCCAGTGCCGTGGTGGAGGAGACGCGCGGCCGCCGGCGCGAGGGCGTTGGGGGCGAGGCCAACAAGGAGAACTACGGCGTGCACTTCATGAGCAGCCCCTTCGGCAACGCCAGCCTGATCGCCCTGCAGGACTTGAGCAACGTGCACGTCCACGGCAAGAGTCCGCAGCGGCGCAGCTTCAGCGAGGGGAGCGGACCGCGTCAGGCCACCCCGCAGCTGGCGGCTCTGCGCTGCCTGCCCCGAGCTCCAGGGGTCACACTGGGGGCTGCGGCCAATGGAAACGGAGGTGGTGCTGTGGGTGGACCTGTGCTGGAAGACTCGCAATTGTCGTCCTCGCGGATGGGGGACACCACCCTGGATCGCATGCTGGACGCCATCATCGAGTCGGCGCGCAAGGAGGTGCGCTGCAAGCACACTACAGCAGCCGCAGCAGCCGCAGCAGCCACCACAGCTGCCACAGTGGCCCTGGACTGCGGCGAGTGGAGCGAGAGCAGTGTCCACGAGATGGAGGTGCGCACCCCCACCCACCTGAAGCGGCAGCGGGTGGTGCGGCGCAAGAACCCCCACAAGACGGCCACCACCGCAGCCACCAGAGAGGGGCAGACTCGAAGCCGGAGCCAGAGCAGGAGGCAGAGCACGACGCAAGTCCCGATGGAGCACGTGCCCAGCACGAAGCGCTGCCTCAGCTTCTCCAGCTCCACGTCCAGCGACCTGGACGATGACGAGCAGTTGGCCAAGCGCAGCTCGATGGTCTCTACCGCATCGTCGAGCCACTCCAGTGCTGCTGGCACTGGCCTTGGCACTGCTACTGGTACCGCCGGTACTCCGGCAGGCGACGACAGTGACAGCCAGCGGGGAAGCATAGACCTGAGCATCGTCTACGATGCCAAGCAGCGGAAACTAAACGTGCACGGTGAGTCCCAAGGCGTCCGTCCCCATGTCTATCTGTAGCCATGCCACTCCAGTGAAAGAGCACCTTATGATTGACCTCTGGTATTCATCGACTAACTGGAGCCCATTCTTTGTGCCATTTCAGTCATCCGCTGTCGTGATTTGCGGCGTTCTCATGGGACCGGAACCGGCATTTATGCCTACGTGAAGGTGGCGCTGGCCTCCGCCCAGCGGTCCGCCCAGTCAGTCCAGCCAGCCATGAGCTCTGGCTTCCAGCGCACCGCTGTCCACCGGCACTCGAGCCGGCCGTACTTCGATCAGCGCTTCAGCTTCCCCATCCATCCGGACGAGGAGGAGCTGGAGGTTGCCCATGCCAATCGGCAGCTACAGCTGGCCGTGTGGCATCGGGATCGCCATTTAAAGTGAGTACGAGTAAGGTCACAAAACAGTTTGTCTCCCAATTGCCAATTGCCCATTGCCTACCCCGTACACAATCCCAAATGATTGGCCCCAGCTCCGAGACTCCAGGACTCCAGGACTCCAGGACTCCAGGACTGAGTCAATTCCATCTTGTCATCCATGTCATTCACCCCCAATTGAAGAGCAAAGAGCAAAGAGCGAAGAGTGAAGAGCGTAGAGTGGGGTTGGAGTGGATGGAAGAGGACTTGGAGCAGGCAAAAGACTAAGGCCTGGCGTCTGGTTAATTGTAACGTTTTTCTCTGGCCTCGTGGAACTTATAGCGCCTGCTGCATTTCCTGCACATAAACAACCCCAGCCCCATTTCCATTTCCATTACCATTACCATTACCACCCGCTATCCCCACAGAGGGAGCCTTCCACCATCCACCATCCACCATCCGGCTTCCACCTTCCACATCCAGGTCATGCGCATTGCGAGCGCTGTGCCTTTCCAGCGCCGTTTCAACTGAATTTTCTGGACTGACCTGCGCCGCGGCCCGCCAGTTCTCCAGTTCTCAGTTGGAGTGCCAAGCTCGCGCGACGCTGAACAGAAGCACCGTGCAAACAGGGAGAACAGCACAGAGCACTGAGTACCGAGCACCGAGCACCGAGCACCGAGAACCGAGAATCGGAGAAACGGCAACGGCAACGGCAACGGCCTGGCAACGCTCGACCTCCGAGAAATCGTAGCGAATGTGCTAAAAAGTGTGTGACATCGACATATTCCTCTGGCACCTAATAGTTCTCTGGCTTTATTTGATTATTTTTGTTCGAGTTGAAAGAAGGTGCCACATCCGGTGTGTGCAAGTGTCGTCAGTGGCGTCAGTGTCCAGTGGCAGGCCCAGCCCCCAGAGGCAGGCAACACGAAATTATATAACTGTATGAGTGAGGGCCGCTTGGAAAGTGTAGCATAATTTTGGGCATGCGGCTAGTCTAATGCGAACAGGAAGTGCTCCTCTCGCGGCGAGTGCTTGTGTGAGTGCTGTGCGTGTGCGTGTGCGTGTGCGTGTGCGTGAGTGCGACTCGAAACGTGCATGTGCGTGCACGAGCGTGTGCTTTCCCTCTATGAGCCACGGCAACTCCACGGAGCAAAGTTAATTGAAATTCAAGGACAAGGACAAGGAACCCTCGTGAGCAGAGCGCCACTTGACCAGCACAGCTTCTAGGGCTCCAGAGCCTGATAGTGGGTGCCATTTGATGGCAGATCGATTTGGTTAGCGGTTATGCAATGGTCACCCCGTTACACACGCACGCCAGCACACGGTGGCCGGATACCGGACACCGGACACCGAGCACCGAGCACCGGAGTTCAAGCCGCAAGCCGCAAGCCTTTCGCTGACGGACAACTAATTGAGCTAAATGGACACCCGGGAATGTCAGCCAGCTGCCATTCCCATTCCCACAACCACTCTTTCTCTTTGTCGCCCTGTCTCTCTTACTCTCTTACTTTGTGTCTCTCTGTGTGCGGCAGAGTCGCTTCTATTTGTTATGCATGCATAATGTATCACGCACTGAAAGAAGCACACACATCCACGCTAGAGAGAAGAGGGTAGGGGGTACGGGGGTAGGGGTAAATGTGTAAATTGTGAAAATAGTTGGGCCAAAGGACTCGTTTTCGAGCGCTTTAAGTCAATTTACAAAAAGACTGACGGCTGAATTATTCATTGCCTGCTTTTCGGCGCTGCCTTGCACCTTCCTTCCTGTCTCTGTCGCTGCCACTGCCACTGCCCATGCCTCTGGCTATAGCTCTGCCTTTGCCTCTGCCACTATTCGCATTACATTTTTAATGTCATGCCCCCATTTCGGCCACTCTTGAGTGGGCGGTCCTTGCCTTGCAGACAATCGCGATTGCAATCGCAACAGCAACAACAGCAACAGCAAAGAGCCCCCAAACAACAGAAAAACTTCACCCCACACTCTAGTCGTACTCGTACTCGCACTCGTACTTTGTGCCGTGCTGCTAGCACCACCAACCACCAGCCACGAACCACGAAAATCAATAAAAGTGACCCAAATACGCGCGCCAACTTCAGCTAAAGTGGCCAGTGGCAAACGAGGCAGATGAGGCGAGAGCCAACGCTATAGTAGGAGCTAGGGCTAGAGCTGGTTCTGGAGGATGAGCCGCAGCAAAAGTAGATAGACCCTCAAGGCATTGTCCAGCCCCTAGCCCGCTCTCTAGGCCACGCAACCACCCATCAAAATTGGCCGGGCAAAGCGCATTTCCGGGCCGTACACACACAGTGTACGGTGTACGCCGCACCGACATGTGGCTTGTGGAATGTGGCAGAGAATGTGACGCCAGCTTAGGGCCGCTAATTGATTTATGTCACGTACGATGGCCGCTGTCTCCCCCAAGACAGTGGAGGCGACTGGTGGGGTTAGAAGGCGAAGAACAAGCGGAACGGAGGCGGAAGCAAGACCCCACCTTCAACGGCTTATAAATAAACCAGCCATTGAAATGTCAGTGCAACGTGACGCACAGTGTCCAAAATTGGTATTATCCAATCAAGGCGTTACGGTCCGTAATTACCCTTTACCCTTGCGACATTTGGCCTGGTCGATCCATTCTCACAGTCAAATGAAATGGTGTGAAATGCCATAGGGTGTTCAAGCAACATACGAAATCCCTCACAATTGAAGTGGGGATCTTTTATCCATCTCCAGTTGATTCTTTATTCACGAAAAAGCTGTCAAGTCGTGAAAAAGTCCACTTGAGATCTGTTCTTATCCCGATATGTCCTTCTAAGCGATGATAATAGATTTTGTAGCTTATTTGCTGACATTTTCTGCTCTTAAAATAGTTAAATCCCTACAAAAGAACTGATCCTTTTCAGTGAATAATCGGAATAATAAGTTGTTCATGTCCCATTTCCGTTGATTCTTAGGCAGCTTCTCCAGCTCTTCCACCCAAGGATTCTGGGTATTTCGATCAGTTTTCCAAACGGTTTTCCACTTGATTAATCCCCCTCCCCGCCCACAACTCCTGCCTATGCCCTGCGCCTACTAAAGATCTCCTCTCTCTCTCGATCCTCCCACAGACGCAGCGAGTTCCTGGGCAGCAGCACCTTCCCACTGAGCGAGCTTCTGGCGGAGAGCCACAGCGTGACCGGGTCCTACAAGTTGCAGTCGCAGTCTCAGTCGCAGGCATGCCTTAGTAGCTGTCGCAGCAGCAGCAGCCGGAGCAGCAGGAGTAGCAGCAGCCAGAGCACTACCACAGCCACCTCCAGGAGCAGCAACCAGGAAGAGCAGGAGCAGGAGCAGGAGCCGGAGCAGGAGCAGCAGTCACTGGCAGAGGGTTCCGATATGGCCACCACCACAGCCACAGCCACAGGCACAGTCACAGCTACCCCCCAGAAGTCGTCAGCAGCGGCTGCGGCGGCGGCAGCGGCAGCAGCGGCGGCCATGAACCTGGACGAGGTCATCAGCATCAGCATCGACAGCATGGCCGGCACGACGACAGTGGGCGGCAGGGACGAGTGCCTAATGCAGCCGCAGCAGCCGATGAAGCTGAGCAAGAAGGCCCTCCACCAGCGGGACGCCGACGAGAACCTCTTTCTGCGCTTCCTCGAGCTGGATCCGCCCGCCGACGGCAATGCGAACAGCACCACCAGCGCCGCGGGCAACACGGGAGGCTCGGCGAGTGGGGCAGCACCGGGCGGTGGGGGGGCAATCGCCAGTGTCATCTGCAATGTGAATGCCAATGTGAGCAATGCCAACCACCTGAACGGAGCCAGCGGCGGCGGCAGGCGCCAGTCGACCATGGCCAGTGGAGGGAGTGGAGGAAGCGCCGGCAGTGGCCAGCGCCAGCTGGGACGCACCCCGTTCACGATGACCCGGCGTCTGATGCGGACGGAGGAGCGAGGATTCGGCTTCTCCATCGTGTGGACGCACCCGCCGCGCGTCGAGAAGGTGGAGGCGGGCATGTCGGCGGACCGGTGCGGCATTCTGCCTGGCGACTATGTGATCTTCGTCGACAAGCACAATGTGGTCACGATGCCCGAGGCTGATGTTCTGAATTTGATACGATCGCAGGGCTCGACCTTGACGTTGGAGATATTCAGAAGGTCAGGCGCGGGCGCCACCATGGCCATAGACACAGCCACCACCACGGCAACAGTCGCCGCCACATCCCTGTCCACATCAACGGGCACGGAAATAGGGACTGGAACGGGAACGGGAACGGGAACGGCCACAGGAATTGGTAGCATGGGAGCAGGTCTTTCCCTGGCCCTGGGCACCTCCAATGCCAATGCCATCACACAGCAGCAGCAGCAATCCCGGCAGCAGCTGGTCCTCGGCCTGGAGCGTGAGGAGCCGACGAACATGATGAGTCTTCAGCGGACGGGCAGCTCGAGACCAGCCCAGCCACAGGCGCAGCCGCAGCTGGGCAACAACTTTTCGCGTCCGGCCACCGCCTGCTCCGGCACCACCTCCTCCATTGAGGCCGCCAAGCGGCGGCTCCACCTGCCCCAGGTCACCTTCAGCAAGGAGGTAGGCAAGGGCGTTTTGGTCTAACCCGAGTCCCCCATTCCCCCCACCCCCCAATCCCGGGATATTTTTTTGAATGCGTGTGTTTTCATTTTGCTATTTGTATGTACATACTTGCAGACCGATTATTGTTTAGTTTTAGAGTTTAAGCAACCGCCATGCTGGCTATCATTACTTACTATTACTATTATTAATCGCCTTTTTTTTTGCCCCACCCCACCCCCACTAGGCACCCCCAAAACAAAACGCTTGACAATAAACTTTTTTTTCAACATTTTATTTGTGTTTGTTTTTTTGGATATTATTTTACTTATTTCTATTAAATGGAAGATCCTTATGGTACCTATATCATGGACTTAGATCATATTATATTGTGTGCCTTTTTTTTGTTGGTTTCCATTAATCTTTTGTCCCATTTATCCAGCTTCCTTGAAATTCCGTTTCCATTGATAGAAGACACAAAAATATAATGGAGGTACATGTATTCCATGTATTTCCATATTGAATATATCGTTTTCCTTCATTTGGAATGGATTATTACGGACAGAAGACTCCAAAAGATACTAGGGGGTACATGTAACCCAATCTTTGCCACTGCTAATCGGGCTCTCTATAAAGAAGTTCTCTCCCAACTAAGTCAGGGAGAAATAACTCTCGTGTACCTAGCCTTTGATTCTCTTCGATTATAATCGAACATTCAAATGAATGTATGCTCTGGAGGTGCCTTTCCGAAATATATCCATTCCAAGTATATATCTTTCGGATCAATCCGAACCACTGTTTCGAACTAAATAAGAATACAAAATCAAAGTATACTGGCTCTAAAGAGAGGCCAAAATGGGGGTACCCTGTCAAACCTCATGAATCGTTCTTATACCGTGGGCACCCTGTTCGGTTTCTTCCTCTCCGATGATTCTAATCCTTAACTTCTGATCTCTCTCCCCTGGGATAGTCCATTGTGCCCATAACGGACAACCGACGTCGCTTCCTCCTGCAGCTGATTAGCCGGGAACAGAACTTCACGGCGGCCCTGCACTTCGGGGTGGAGCGGTTTGTGCAGCCGCTGCTGGAGCGGAAGGACCTGATTTCGCCGAACGACCACCGGACGCTGTTCCAGAACATCGACGAGCTGCTCCGCATCGCCGAGGACATACTGGAGCAGCTGTGCAGCGGCGACCAGCACCAGCAGCATCACCAGCAGCAGGAGCCGGAGCCGCAGATGAACTTCGCCTCGCGGGTGTACCTGTCCAAGACGACGGCCATATGCGCGGCCTACAAGAAGTACTGCAACGGCATCAAGCGGGCCGACTGCGTGCTGGTGAACAAGTCCCGGCAGACGGGCTCCGAGTTCATAGCCTTCATCACGGAGCCGGCGGTGCCGCGCAAGCGGCCGGACCTCACCATGTTCATCCACCGTCCGCTGCAGCACTTCCGTGAGATCCTCAAGCTGATGCAGCTGCTGGCCAGCAACTGCCACGTGGACACCGAGGAGCACAAGAACTTCAGCAGCGTGATTGGGGAGCTGCAGGCGGCCTACCGCGAGATCACGGTCAGCAGCGGCCTCATGGAGCCCCTTGGCGAGGGCCGGCCCCTGCTCACGCTCCAGGACCTAGAGTCGCGCATGGTCTTCACCAAGTGCAAGCCCTTCACGCTGGCCGTGCAGGGCCGCCAGTGGATCTTCGGCGGTGATCTGTCCCGCGTCGAGGGCCGCTCCATCAAGCCATACTGGACGCTACTCTTCAGCGACATCATCGTCTTCGCCAAGGTCAGCCGCGATCGGGTGCTCTTCATCACCGAGGAGCCCGTGCCCTTAGCCAATGTGGTCGACTCCTGTTTTCACATGCGCAAGAAGAGTGAGTACCCCTCTCGACCCCCATACCCCCTGATACCCTTTTCGACTCCCCTCCGCAGCCACCGAGTTCCGTCTGACTGTCGATCCCAATGGCCGGCTGGCCGAGAGCCCCACGGGCTACTGCGCCCCCGATCTCAGCCGGACACCGAGGCGGGGCGCCCGTCGCAAGAGCCTCATCCTGCGCGCTCCCTCCCTGGAGCTGAAGGCCGTGTGGCAGAACCTGCTGCAGCGCCAAATGTAGGTCGTCCGCGATGTCTCTCAAGGGGGCAACCATCCTAATCGACTTATACCCGTTCTTCCATGCAGATTTCTGGTGAATGCGGCCTTAGGCTCGACGCCCCTGTCCAGCCCCCTGGACTCGCCGGATGTGCTGAACACACTGGTGCCACTGAGTGATATTGGCATGACCTCCGCCTCGATGGCCTCGATGAAGCTGCCATCGCTGGACAGCATCAACCTCAAGCAGCAGAAACAGCAGGTGCGTCTCTTTCGTAGCAAGCGCCTGGACAGCGGCGATTCCTACGAGAATCTGCAGAGGCTGGCCAGCGCCGTGCGGCACAGCTGCGCCACCAGCACCACCGCCAGCGCCACCACCAGTGCCTGCGCTGCCACCCAGACGCCGCTGCAGTCGCTGCAGTCGCAGCTGTGCTCCGCCTCGCTGCCCTCACGCACAACGTCGCCAGCCCGCCTCCCACTGGGCGAAGGCCACGGCCACGGTCACGGCCACTCGAATGGCTCCTGTGGCGGCTCTGTGCCCAACGGTGTGGGTACCACGGCGACGGTGATGGGCGGTGGGGCAGGCGACAGCTCGCTGCGGCGCTTCAACACGAACTCAATGAGCTCTTGCCTGAGCAGCAGCGCCAGCCTGACGGCCCACAACCACACCCAGACCGCGGCCCCATCCCTGTCCCTGCCCAGCGCCAGCTGCAAGTGTCTCACGGCCATTCCGGAGGCAAGCAGCGAGCCCCTGCCTGTGGCCGTGTCCGTGTCTTTGTCCGTGGCCACGGCCGCGCGACCCCCCTCGCAGAAGCTGCTCGAGTTCAGCCTGAGCTCGGTGGGACGCTCCTTCATCGACGAGGCCGCCAATGTGGGGGTCGGCGGGCAGGTGTCGCTGACCACCCCCGAGACGCCCACGCCCAACATCTCGCCCAGCTCGCAGCAGTGCAACTCGGACGCCTTCTCCAATGACTTTGTGCCCCCGGGCGGGACGACGGGACGGAAGACCAACATTCCGCTGGCCGAGTTCGGGGGCTCGTGGGATCTGCTGGAGCTGGACCTGCAGCTGCACGAGGTCAACCTGGATCCGTGCTACGACACGGATGTGGAGGAGTGCATCTTCCTGGGTGACGGGAGAGTGGGCCTGGACAATCCCGACGGCGACGGTGACGGTGACGGGGACGGGGACAATGACGAGGACAGCGACGATGACAGCGTGGTGGTGGACGATGATCCCTTCGGCATGCTGCCCACCAAGCCCACGCCACCGGACTCCCTGGATCTGTGATTTGACTTTTGGCTTCAGACGGACGCCACCGCCACTGCGACGATGGTCCCGGGAGATCGGGATGACCCTGGGCTCCAAGAAGACCCCTGCTTCCCGACCATGGACAATCTTTGAATCGACGAGCTTACCGACAAACTACCACTGATCCACCCTTACCCTTAACCGATACCCTTACGCTTACCCTTACCCTTATTCTACTCTCTCTATCTCTCTCTCTCTCTCTCTCTCTCTCTCTCTCTTGCTACCTCATCGGCTGTTCCCTCTTGATTGGTCTGCTTCTGGTTCTGGTTGTGGCCTTGCTTTTGGCCAACTCCAGCTGCAACTCCCTTTTTGCTAGACTTGCTTTGTACTCGAACAGTCACTGGCTGCGACACAGTTTGAAGTTTGAGGAAAACGGGTACTGGATTATACTCGTACTCCTACTCGTACTCGTACTCGTAGTCGTACTCGTGCATGGGTACTCATGGGTGCTCATGGGTACTCGTCTTCCATTACTCGATGATCAATCGAATGGCCATGAGTGAGATGTGAGACTACGAATATCCCTGGAGTATTGTACATACGTGCCTATACCCTTGCTATGCCTCTCCATCTTGCTCGCTTTGCGCATTGTACATACATATATACATATAATTAGACACCGACACAGAACCGATGTACATACATACGAGTATGTACGTATAATTATAGCCCCGTTGAGAGCCCTCCGTTGTAATCGTGTTTGTTCCATCCAAGTCGATTCTGAATCGAGTGTAAATAGTAGGTATCACTACGAAGAGTGCCCAAGACGATGCTCGTTATTCAATACACCAATGTTGTAAGTGTGTGTAACGCTAGTACTTAATTCTTACCACTTATAGTCACATATACTTATACCCACTTAGAGTACATTTGTTACAATATAGCCATACCTTATAACTATAGCTAGTCAAATATACACGCACCTACTTGAAGCAAGAAAAAAGAACGCCCCAAGCACACTCTCGAGGGGGACGAGATCGTTTTACAAGACGTTTATACATTATATACGATATACATACATATATTCCATACTCTCCTAGTCGCTCCAATTCGTATTATCCATTTTGATTGAGACTTTTCTGCCAATCCAACAAAATCGAAATGAAAATCAAAATGAAAATGAAAAAAACCAAACAAATTATTATATCTAGTGTTAAAAAATGCTTCCATTTTGTAGCCAAATTGAAAATTTATTACTGTTATTGCTGTTGTTATATTACCTTAGCCTGTATCTAGATCGGGACGCGGAACCCTCTCGTATTCTAAGTTAAACATTAGCCAAATATTGTTGCCATTCTTAGATTCGATTCCCGATTCCCGATTCCCCAATCCCCGATCCCCGATCCCGAAAGCAATTCAAACTGTTCAAACATCTTCCTTATAGAATAGAATACATAACATACAATATAGTATATAGTGTATATACTATAATAGTACGTCTAGCTAGTACACACTATATAAACCTATGTCTATAGCTGTAATGAAACTTTGCTCAGTCGTCGCAGGGCTCTTGGCTGGATGGAAGGGGAACCCACTCGTTCATACATACATATGTATCTGATCCATCTGTCGATATCGAGGTCAATTATCAATGACAAGCACTTTGTTGCCTTTTAAAAGACTCCATGTAGATACCACCCATTCATTCCCAATTCACTTACACATTCATTCATCTGAGGGCTCGCACAGTGGGCATTATTTTGGGGGAAATATTGTAAACATAGTTTCTTCCTTCAGAATAATTGTTGGGCAGGGCAGTGTTTGCCCTTTACGGGGGGCACCGCTGTGCGAGGCCGTCCAGCCAGGACGTTCTAGCGACTCTTAGCTAGTCTCCGGTCTAACCTTTATACACGCACACACCTGTACGTCTACGTCTGTGGCAAGTTTTAACGGATTATGGTATCAAGGAGTATCAAGCATACGCCGCGTGGTCTTTTGCGGCTCGGTTTTCGGGTGTGCCTTGAGCAATAACCAAAATATGTATCTCTCTATACACCATATATAGTATATAGTATATAGTATACAGTATATACATCTACATATTCATTCATATTCGTATTATATGTAATCTGTATGTACGTCTAGAAATTTTTGATTTGATGTTTTTTGCCACTTTACATACTCGTAACACGAGAGGATCGATATCGACTTAGAGATTGAGATTGCGATTGCGATGAGAAACGAGATGCATTCAAATAATAATAATAAAAAAAAATAAAAAACCAAATGATTCTTTGACTAAAAACGCTTGTGCTGTTCTTTTTATTTCATTCAAAAAAAAAAACCAAAATAACAAAAGAAACAAAACAAAACTAAAGAGTTAACCAAGTAGAAACCCACCGAGCACTCATTCAAAACGTTGCCCAATATCGCTCCGCATTTATCTAGATCCTGGTCAAATCCTGCGCTTACAAAAATTGGTCGATCCTAAAGCAAAACCGAAACAAGATCAATTTTCCCAGAAACAAAAAACAAAACAAAACAAAACAAGAACAAAACCAAAAAAGAAAACACCAAGAGAAAACCAAAATTGATAAATTAAAAATTGTGATGGACTCAATTTTAGTTTTAAGTTCGAATTGCTTCTTTTACTAATTCTTCTCTAATTTCCAATTTCCAACTTCAATTTTCCACCTCCAATCTTTCAACTTTTGAATCTTAAACCGCTTATTTGTTGTTGTCGTTTGTAACTGTAACTGTAACTGTAACTGTAACTGTACCTTTACATTTCCCGTTAACTGTTTACCGTTAACCATTTTTATAGCCGTTAGATGTGCCGTTTTGTATTCGCCCCACAATCTTCCCCCCACTAGAAAATCAAATTACCAACTTCCAAGAGAGAGCAAGAGAGCAAGCGTTTTTAATCAAAGCAAAAAGAAGGTCGTACGAGTATTATTATTTCCTTTCCGTTCCGTTTCTCCGTTGAATCTATCGATCAAAGATCTCAGCCAAAGGCAAAAGCAAATGCAAAAGCAACAAACTAACCTCAAAAGTCAAAGCAAAGCAAAGCAAAAAGAGAAACAAAAACAAAGCAAAAGCAAAAGATAATCCAAGCAAAAGCAAAAGCAAAAATGCAAGAGAATCTAAGACCCTCCGACTTGGAAAACTATTCCAAATGTTCCAATGAGCCCATCACAAATTTTAATTTGCCAAGCAGCGTTCGGGCAGCCTTCGGGCGTCGTTCGGGCAGCGTTCGGGCAGCGTTCGAACAGCGTTTGGGCAGCGTTCGGGCAGCGGTGGGTGGGTTGTGGGCGGCGTGGTGGTGTTCCAGTTCCAGTTCCTCTTCCCGTAACCGTTCCCGTTCTCCGGCCCAGGTAAGACACGGGCCACGCAGTCACTTACACTCCATTATTTTTGCAGCAGCGTAACAGCTCTCACGGCCATACCCACACCGGTGGACCAGGGGCGGCCGCCTCCGCTGGCCACGCCCACGGACACACACACACACACGCACACGGCCATGCCGTGGAGCAGATCGAGCTGTTGATCGACGAGAAGTGCCGCATTTTGAACAAGACCGGCACGCCGAAGTCGAGCGCCCTGCACCTGGCCAACTGGATGAAGGGCCAGCTGGACAAGCAGCAGCAGCAGGCCCGACTGGCGGCCATCGCCCGCTCCCAGGAGAACATCACCGCCGAGGACGAGCAGCTGATCTTCAACAGCGACAGTGAGCAGGACGAGCGCATCACGTATTGGACGCGGCAGCAGCTCGAGAAGCGCACCAAGGAGCTCAACCTGGCCAAGGAGAACGGCGCCATGTCGGCCAAGCCGAACTTCGGTGGCAAGCGACTCAGCGGCGTTGAGGAGCTCAGCATGAGCGCCGCCTCGGACATCTACTCGGAGGCAGAGGGTGTGACCAGTCAAATCAGTCAGTCGCACAGCACCACATCGGACAGTCAGGTGAGAGGAAATCATTTCTGGTACCCCGCCGGAAAGTATGCTATGAAAAATCGCGCCATAGTTTCGCATGCGATCCACATCGATCCACTCAAAGTCCACCCATTAAAAATGTCTTTCCATAATCGATACTACACAAAAATCTAAATCCAGTCCCCATATAATAGGTATTCAGTAAAAAATCCCACCCACTCAAAGTCGAAAGACCACCTGTCGCCTCCCAGTAACCGCTAGCCCGATAACCCGCTAACCCCTGCTTTATCTTCCGCATCCGTCCCTGTAGATTACAGTACGCTCGAGCCCCATTGTGCTGGACAAGCTGGCCGTTTGCCGACACTGCCACAAGAATTGCCAGCAGAGCGGCCCCGGCGGCGGTCGTGCCGGTGCCGCTGGCATCAATAACTCCGGCTCCACGCCCGTTCTCCTCTGCAACTCCCTCAAGGTGCAGCACAGCCAGTCCTCGCCGAACCGATGCTGTAAGCTTAACGGGATGGCTGGGGGAACGGGATCGGGCACGGGAACGGGCACGGGCACGGGCACGGGAGCAGGCACCGGAACGAGCAGCGTGACCAGCATGTCCAGCAGCACAATCACGGGGGAGCTGTCATCGAAGGTAGTCGCTAGCAGCAGTCGCCGGGAGACCGGCGATACGGAGAGCGATGTAGCCCAGCTGATCACCGACGAACTGTCCCTCTCCCAATCAGAGGCCACGGACGAGAGCGTTGGCGCCATTCCCAACAGCAGCAGCAGCGCCGGCGATGGCTCCAAACTACGAATTCTAGATCCTCAGCCAACGGCGGTGGCATCGGTGGCATCGGTGACATCGGGGGCAACGGTGACTCCACCAATGGCTATAGCAAATGGCCATTGCTCAGGCGGTTCACCGAAGCCGTTGCCACCACCGCGACGCACTCGCATCGTGGCCCAGATGTGCCAAGAACCCGCAAGGCCACGGGCCAACCAGCAGGTCAAGGCAATAGTGACGATCACTGAGACGGCACGGATCATGCGCAGCAGCGAACGAACAGCCCACCCGCACTCTGTGGGATCGGGAGGATCCGGCTCGGTGTCGGGGTCACCAGCCAAATATGCCGCCTGCCACTGCCGCTGCACTCCTGAGGACTTCACGCACGCCCAACTCTCGCCGGACAAGATGGAGCACCAGACCTGCAAGCTCCTGGAGTCGCCCAAACAGACCGCCACCACCACATCCTCATCCTCAGCAGCCGCAGCCTCAGCCGCAGTGAGAGCGGCACAGCGGCAGGAGGATGAGCAGCTGTCGCTGGTGCTGATTGGACTGGCCCAGTTTGCGCCGGCGGCCAAGCTGTGTGGGCAAGGGGAGCGGGTGCCACCTTCAGTCCTCCATCAGAGGGAAGAACCTAATGACGCCCCCACAATAGCCGTGGTGCCACCAACGCCCGACGCCGTGCTTACCAAGACGAGCACTCATGTGTGGGACAACAGCGGAGGAGGAGCGGAAGCGCCAGTGGGTGGAGTGGCCACGACTAGCACGGCCACCACTACAACGAAGCAGCCGCGCCAGGCGATCATTGAGAACATACCTGAGGACTCGTGCGACGAGTCGCCGCTGGACGAGGAACCTCCGTACAGGCCCATGACCAACGCACTGAGACGCTTCGGCACGATGTCCAGTCTGGAGAAGCTGCCCTCTGACGATCGCATGGACGAGGCCGACGAGCTGGACGACGACCTAGAGCAATACACCTCCAATGGCCACGACGACAGCACCCACAACGACGATGTGGACGATGATGATGAGGACGAGGATGAAGACGACGCAGCCTCGGACAAGGCGCTGGCACAAAACCTTAACGAATTGGTCGGGTGCTCCAGCTCGACTCCAGCGCGTGCCATGGTCAATGGGGATGTGCTGGCGAGTGGAGCCTGGACCAATCGGGCTGGGGCTTTTGTCTCCGACAAGATGTCCTTTTTCGAAGAGTCGCGCGCCTTCATCGACAAGTACTTGGGTCGCTGGAGTGCCGAAGATCCCCAGGAGCAGCCTCAGCAGACGGCCACCTCCGAGACGGATGAGCAGATGGACGAGTGCACCTCGGGGGCAACCAGCGGCGAGGAGGTGTGGGGCACGCCCACCAGTGGCGGGGACAACGAAGACAACGACATGCAGCTGATCAACTCGGAGAACACACATTCGGTAAGATGCAGTGCCTTCATAGGGAACTGCGATCGAATAATCTTTTCACTGCACTTTAGTCACCCACCAAGTCGAGCACCTCGCTGAACGATGACGATGACACGGAGCTGATGATGGACGAGCTGCTGATGGCCCCGCCGATGACGGCCAGCACCATAAGGGGACTGCTGCCACGGTATGTAGGGTGGAGTGGAGTCCCGAATCCGAGTCCGAATCCTCTCCTAGCTATAATACTCTTATGCGACACACACACACAGCTGGTAGAGCCACTAGACTAGACCCATAAGCAGCTAAAGCCGCATCAGTATGCAGCCAGACATGAGCCCATCTACTCGTAAACTCGTATATTCAATACAATACAATACAATACAATACTCGTATATCGTATAGATAAAAACTCTAGAGATAGTACCTCCATTAGCCCTACTCTAACTAAGTAAACGAATTCTCTTCTTTTGTGTATTCCTTTGGACACTTTCTTTCGTAGCTTTTACAGGTGTTTTTCTTTCGTTTCCATTCGTTTCACCCCAACCAACCACATCCACACCCACACCCGCCCAAAACCCAATTCGATTCGTATCTGTGTATCTACTCGTACATCCATCTCTCTATAGTATTGCTCAATCATTTTCGGGTTAGCTTTAGACTCTAGTCATAGCCATAGCCAGATCAAGTATCGAGGACCAACGACCAACGGACACGAAAGGGCGGATAGTCTTTCTCTTTATGTAGTGTATCCTTGTATCTACTATCTATATATATACATACATATATAATTTGTATATCTATTCAAAAATTGATGCATCATTTACGAGTACTATGTCATCGACACACACAAACACACATTCATATATCGAATCCAATCAAAACATCGATCAAATATTGCTAAATTCAAATTGAAATTCGTTTACATACTATACGCCATACATACCATCATACGTATTATCGAATCGTATCGAACCGTATATCGTAACCGTATATCGATACATGTCATGCTTAGACGTCGTCTTGAGCCCCTTTTCGAGGAGGAGACCGAGAGCGACGAAGAGAAAACCCAGCAGGACAGCGATGACATCAAAAAGGTGGGTCGTTATTACAGCAAATCCCAAAATCAAAACCAAAACAAACAAAAAACCAAACCAAAAACAACATGCTCAATCTTTCTTGTGCGATTCTTCTGCATGGCAACACTGGCGCGGCGCAATGTCATGCATGGCAGTGCCGTCCTTGCCTGAAGCAACTGTACAGTGTCCACCTCAAAAGCAAAAACAATAGAGACAGAAGTCTTCGGTGCACCGAAGCGGAAATGCCCCTGCAAAGAGCTATAGCGCCTACTCTATATGGCATATAGTATCACTTTGTAGAGGTATTCCGAAGCGATGATCTGCATATGATTCCACCTGCATGTAGCCTAAGACAACCATCAATTTAGCTATCTATCAAACACTCAATGAACTAACTTGAATTCACTTTGGTTTGTCTTTCTATTTTGTCTATACTTTTATTTTCATATGCCACACCACCAACGACTGCAACTCGCTCTATCGCTCATCTACATCCATCGATAAATCCACCACCATCTCCGCACCATCATCAATCAAACAATCAAACAATCGAACAATCATTTATCTGTATTTACACTATATATTCATATTTGTTGTGTGTAAACTGTACCTTTTGCCTGCCGCAATCTTTCTGAACGCTATTTTCATGTATTTTTGTGTAACTTAATTAAACTTGTTGTTTCTTAAACTAATCGTTATCGTTATCGTTGTCGCTATTGATATCGCTATCGTTAACTGGCATTGTGTGTATACTCGTACATATATCAAATAGAAAGTCGTAGTGAAATTAGTGAAGCTTTAGCCAATACTGCAATATTGCGAGCTCATAACCATCACACGCCTGGACGGGGACGACGACAACAGAGACGATGACAGCGAGAACGATTGACGACCGCTCACCGATCCACCGATCTCCAAATTGAACTCCAATCCCCAATCCGATAAATCGAAATTCCGTACCGCCAACGCACCACCGAACCGCATCCACTCAGAATCCTCAGAACATCCACATCAACATCAACATCAACATCCACATTAAGCGCCAGGCGCAAAGCGCAAACTGCAAGCAGGAAGCTCTATCTAAACCAGAATTGATTAGTTGAATTCTATTCCCAACAATTGGTAGGGGGAAGCAACGACAAATGGCCACTACCTAGAGGATTCAGCTGGAAGCTCAAGCGACGAGGCAGCCCCAGTGGTGCCGGATCGGGAGGAGGATCCGGAGGAGGAGCATCAGCATCAGCATCAGCATCAGCATCAAAAGGAGCTGGAGCAGGAGCTGGAGCTGGAGCAGGGGCATCTGGGGTATCAACAGCAGAGATTGCAACCGAACCTGGGGCCACGTCCGTTGCTCACTACCATGCTGCTGCCCACTACGGCCATAACCACGCAGATGGAACCATCACCACGACCACCACCAGTACAACGAGTGGGTCCACCGCCAGTGGTGGCCTTATCCTGCGAGTATCTGCTCGATCAGCGCCCCTCTATACCCTTGACAGCCGCATCGCACACGACGAGGTCGTACACGATGCCAGCTACGATCAGTGGGCCAGGGCCAGGTCCAGGCCCAGAGATAGAGAAAGAGAACTCCACCACGACGCCATCATCTCGGCCGCCTCCGCCTCCGGCTGCAGCAGCGACAACGGGCAGGACGTCGATGACGACGGCGAGTCGAGCTCCCTCGTCGACTACTACAACAACCAGCAGCGGGAGCGACACTACGAGCTCCGGAGGCAGAGCCAGCGGAAGGCCAGCGAGGTTTATACCACCGCCGCCGCCTCCGCGTCGCTTGCTGCTCACGCAGACCAATCTAAGCGCTGCCCCACCCAAAACGGTGAGTCCAATCCTCCAGCCCTGCGATCCTACTTGCCTTTGACCCCATCTTGTGTGCCCACAGGAGCCACCTCAAAGAAAATCTGGCGCTACTGCTGACAGTGGCTCCTCGGCGGCTGTCGGCGACGCCGCCAGCGCTTCGGGCCCAATCGCTACCGGGTCAAGGACAATGCCAGCGGCGATTACCAGCAGCTCTACGCCGGCGCCGGCACCGTCCCAAAAACGGCCATCGTCAACGATAATCGAGACCTGCCTGCTGGGGCAGGCACCCAGGCCCGCCTCAGCCATTTCATCAGCAACAGCCTCGAGGATACCAAAGCCGAGCCGGGCGAGCCCCAGTCCCACCCACCGTCAGAGCAGCCCGGCTATAGCGGCGCCACCACCAGCGGAGGTGGCGCCGGCGCAGGCGCAGGCGAAGGCGGGGGCGGGGGCAAACGGAGACGATCAGCGTTCGGCACACGCTGCCCCAGCGCCCCACGCTGGCTGCGGTCTAAGTCCAAGGCTGGAAATGCGGCTGGCCCTCAATCACGACATCCTAGGGGACGAGGACTTGATCTGCTACGAGCCTGGTCCAGATCTAACAACTATTCTGGGGTGAGCAGTCCTCTTCGCATTTGTTTCGATATAAACATTATCAACGTTATCCTTGCAGGCACGACCTCTCCACATTTCATCGTCTGACGGGTCGCGATTTATTGAGTCGTTCAGCCACGAATCGGGTGCAGCCAAAAGAGGCTGTCATATCGTACTCTCAACAACGCAACTCAAAGATGGACACGCCGACGGTGAACCGTCGTCCACGTCCGCTCTCGGCCTCCGTCCAGAGCAACCACAGCAGCAGCAGCCACGGCAGTCCTCGTACCGCTGGTTCAGCTCGTGCCGGAGGCGATCCACGCAGCCAGCAGGTCAGTCCAGGTCCATGGACCGGTTCTGGATCTGCGGGTCGAGCCGGCGCCGGGAGCGGAAGCGGCGCCGACAACAGCACCGCCTGCAGCTCCAGCAGAGGCGGGAGCAAATTAGGCGATCTGGAAATCTTAGCGAGACGCGAGAAGATATACTGCATGTCTCAATCGAGGAGTGGCTGTCAAGTCAGGGAGACATCCACGACCTCCACAACGATGGTGGCAACGATGACGATGGGTACGGTGATGACGGAGATGGCATCGAAACGCGACTCTTCCTCGCCCACCCAAGCAGTAGCAGCAGCTTCTCTGACGAGGACGATGAGTACTACTTCGATGGACGGAGCGGTAGCCACCAGTACCACAACAACAATGACTGAAGCATTCCTCGAAACGGAAGTGGACAAGTCGAAGCGATTGTGAGTCGGAATCTGATGTGAATTGGGAGGGAACCATCTTAGGGTTTAACTTGAGATTAGGAGAGTGTATCAATAGCGCGTGTAAAGCCTCTTAAAGTTTTATGGTTATTGTTAGTTTTGTGGACCCTAAAAGTGCGATCTTATCACAAAAAGGTGACCAAGGTCACAAATGTAAATAGCACCCCTTGTAGAAAAATAAGACAGAAAATCTCGACAATTAAGGGCGGAAGTCGACCTACAGACGTCAATAACGTCTTTAACGATGTCCTATTCCATGCCAAATTAGCAGTAGGGATTAAACAAATAATGGTGACCCCGATAGGAGCCAGTAGCTTCCCGAGAGTGCAAAATCAAAATTTGGGCATAGAGTGTGCGTGGGACTAGCCGATAGGGGTGTTCCACGTTGTTATTATTGGACTGCTCCGAAATTCAAAGACCTATGGGATGATGACCGTGTGAAAATGTAATATTATTCCGTTTACAGAATCAACTTTATTAAGCGTCGCAACTCTGAGATAACCGCTAGTAGCAGCAGCAGCACCCCCAACCACTCCGACGGAGCCCTTGGCGAGCAGCCCCAACCGAGCCAATCCCAGGCCCAGAGTCAGAGCAGCCTGCTGCCACAGGCAGCCGAACCCGCGGAGATGGCACAAATGTCGCCGCGCAAGGACAACGTAAGCAGACAAAACATGATTATCCTTTGCCAATCGCACTGACCCATTGCTACACTGATATAGGACAAGCCATCTCTGAATCGCCGCCTGTGGAAACAAATCACCAAACGCCGACGCACCAACTCCGTGTCCCAAATAGTCGCTGGTTAAGGTGTCACCATTCCCCCCTCCCATTCTTTGTCCAAACGATTTTCGGAAGATCCCAGCATCCAGCATCCCAGTGCGATCCTTAGCCAGTGCTTAATAGCTTTTATTGTGTTCTGTGGGTAGATTTTAGTTAATCATAAGTTGAGCACGACGGATCCGAAGGGCAGCCAATTGACTGGAGGACGGATGGTCTGGAGTCCGTGTCCCTGTCCGTGGCAGTAAGTCGGCTCTCCTTGAGGTCTCACTTGCTAGTGGCCTGTGTTGCGCTGCCACGGAAGTAGCAGTGGCGCATTCGGCTGCTGCTGCTGCTACGGACTTCCGGATGTCCGGATCTACTAGCGGGCTGCCACACCAACAATGGACTGGCATTGAGCAAATACCAAACTACCAAACACCAACAACAAGAAACAGGAAACAAGAAACAAGAAACAAGCAACAAGGGGGGAAAATATTTAGTAGAGTACGAGTATGTTAGGTTTTTTGATACAACTTTGTAGGTAGTGAATCCTGGGATCGATCACAGGGCCACTCTAGGCGTCCAATTGCGTCCAAAACGAATCTCCTGCCAGCAGTCGGCAGAAGGCAGTAGAAGGCAGACGGGAGGCAGGAGGCCAAAGAACTCAGTCCAAGCCAAATACGATATAGACAACGAATGGCAGTAAGTTGGCAGTGAGGGGGCATACAACTACTGGGGCACAGTACGAGTAACTCACTCTCCCCAAACACACAACACACACACAGAGACACATTACTCGTAACACACATGCAATCCAGCCAAATGAATATACATAGAAGATATAGAAGAATTCGAATGTTTACACTGACTATTTTTTAGAGGAGATAGATATAGAGCATTCATTAGCATTATACGTGTACGTATACGTGTACGTGTACGTGTACTTGTGTACGAGTAGCTGTACGGAGTAGCTTAGCAGTTGGGTTGTTCCGGGGGCTTTTGATATTGGTTCGTGTTCGTTTAGTTCTAGTTCTCAATTAACAATGAAATTGCCTTACGTATTCAATGAACTATTGTATTGGTAGCTTAAAGTAGTGCTCTTTATACATACATTTTACGCATTTTGCAATTGTCCAGCAATGTCAGCATCGGGTCAGCATCAGTATCAGTATCAGCATCAGCTTCAGCAGTCAGCAGTCAGTACGAGTAGTATGCCACTAATGAATTTTAAGAATTTAAATTCCACATTTTTCTCAAACTATTTACAAGGAAACTTTTTCATCAGAGTCTTATAAAAGTATAGCGAAACTTTGTAGTTTATTTCACATTGAAATTGAAATATGAAATCGAAAATATTTGAGATTAAGATCGAAACTGAGACCGAGACCGAGATCGAGATCGAGAGCAGCGCTCCGCTGAGATGCTAAGAAATTATACGAGTTAATAATGACAAACGATGAAGTACATTTATCAGCTTTAATAGAAAATCTAATAAATATATACATATATTATACATGAATCTAACTAGTTGTAGTCGTAGCTAACTAATTGATATACGAATTAATTTTCAATAGAGTGGACTTGTACGTGTACGTGTACGTGTTACTAGGCATTTACCACTCACACCACACTCTTGGGGCATGGCATCCATTGATTCAGCACCATCTACCACGTACCACGAACAGTGTCTCAGTATTCAGTAACTTTCTTTGTAAAACTCAAACACTGACACACTCACAAATCCGAATATCCAATACTCGAATATGCATATATGTGCATCTATATAGGGTATGGATGATTTTTTTTGCGGTCGGGGTTGAATCTTGTATTTTAGTGCAGAAGTGAATTTTCCTCTTGAAATTCAATAAGAAATTCAATTATTTAAAGATGAAATTACAGAAAAAAACAAAACACACAAATAATTCAATATACAATAAATCAAAATCGAAATGATCAACAATTGTTTTGCATTCCTGGGATCTCTTCTGATTTCAGGCTTCTTTCCCCAAAAGGACTCCCTCAGAGAAGCCCCATCAATGGAATATTTTTAGCACATTATAAATATGTGCATATATTAGGAAATACTTACCATACCTTTCCATATTCTAGTGCAGCGGTAGGTGCCTCGCACACGATATGTATTTTCTTCGGGCTGGCTTCCGTTTTCGACGAACAAATCACGAAAAACAACCCTTAATATTCAAATAAATATTGAATTTTTTAGTTGTACTTGTATTTAGTATCTGCAGATATGAAATCCAGAATTCAATTACTATAAAATGCACACAGCCTGGGAGAGAAATAATAGAAACAGCATATATTTTTCGTATTTTTCAAAATGTTCTTAAGGGACTTAATGGAAAACCATTTTTTTTTTGCTTCCGATTCATTAGTTTAACTTTTCATTTAGTAATTTCGACGCATCCTGGAGTCCACCATCCATTATTTAAATGTAAGAGTCTTACAAACAACGTGTCAGCTTTCTCATTACATCGAATCGCTCGCCCAAAACGGACTGAACAATGCATGTATCGCAAGCCGAAAATTTCGTCTTTTTTTCGCGCTCACTCTTGATTTGATTTTCTGTAGAGAGAACGGGAAAACAATACATAAATTTGCTGGTTTTTAGATTTTCTTTTACCTGAAAATACTTTCATAAAATTGAATCAGGGTGATTCGAATCCGACTGAAAGAACGATTCGTAATGATCGGACGCATTAAGGAGGCATGAGTAGTGTATTTTGCTGTGATTTTATAAGTACTCGCGATTCATGCAGTGCTCTAGTAAATACATATCTACCAATCTGCGATTTTATGGGCGTGTCCAAATAGTACTTGCTGCCTACCAAAGGCCTACGTCAGAACTCGGGACACAGATCCTCCGTCAGGACACTCCCCAAGTCGGTCTTTTAGGGAACAGTGTTCTCTGTTTTAAAATACTTTTGCACGATCCGAATGAAGTGGATAACCTGAAGTGGATAGCCTGCCAGGTTGGTAATGTGTTCCCATGTGAACCAAGTGAATCTTGTCGTAACTGACCTCCGAGGGTCATTTTAAGGTATTTACTGAACGATCGTATGTACCTAGAATACTAAATATGTTGATTTTATACCAACATCGCAGCTCGATCAAGATCTCATTGCCTTTGATTATCATGCATTTCGGTGGTAGCATCCTCTCCTGGACACACGTCAGCACGGTATGGATTCGCAGCAGATTCAGCAATTCGTAATACTCTACACATATTAAAGAAGCTTTCTATTTGGTATGTGCCTTATATGCGAATTTTGATTTCAATATAGAATACTAGAAGGAAGGCCAACTCTCTATCGGATTAGGGAGATATGTACATATAGAGGATTCGTAATAATGGAACGCATTAAGGAGGCATGATGTGTATGGCTGTGCAGGACTCTTTGTGTAGAGTGATCCCATACCAACAATTCCATTCTCATTCTCTTTCTCTACACAGCGAAGCGATCAACAACAACAAGAACATTGAGCAAATTAATTGTAATTCCAGTGGGGCTCGAACCTGGGCTGGGCTGTAGATTGGACTGGGGCATGGGGCATGTGGCATGTGGCATGAGGCATGGGGCAATGGGCTGGGCTGGGCTGGGCCCCGTGCGTGCATAGAGCCAATGCACATTCCCATTAACAGACCGACTGACAGACCCACCGACAGTCAGAAAAATAGAGAGAGAGAGAGAAAGAGAGAAAGAGAGAAAGAGAGAGGAAAGCCCAGAGCACACTCTCTGCAGTAGCCAGAGCGCGGCTAAGCGGCGCCGTCACAGCTGGCGCTGCCTCTGTCTCTGCCTCAGCCACAGAGCTTTGGTGGCGGCTCGACTCGCTCAGCTGAGTGCGAGTGCGAGCGTTTCAATTTTGAAACGAGTTCCATGCCGAACGGACGTTCGATCCGCGCCACTCTCGCTCGCCCCAGACCGGGCACCGCTTCGCATCGCATTGCCGCCGTCGAGAAGAATTCGCGAAAGTCCCCCCGTGTCGACAGTGCACCGTGCCCCGTGCTTTGTGCCCCGTGCCCCGTGCCCCGTACTCCGGTGAACCGGCATTGCGGTTCATTTACATACATTACATGTCTCCCATTGGCTTTTAATTGGGCGAACGGTTGTCGTGTGCTCCCGTTGTTTTTTGTCGCGTGCTTGCGATTGTGTGCGTGTCTGTGTGTTTTTGTGTGTGTGTGCCGGCGTCTTGGAAAAATATAAAAACGAGTATTTTGCTTTATTTTCTATTTTTTAACGTTCAAATCGATTTGAAAGTGCTTACCGAAAATTCAACAAATATATATACGAATATACTCAAAGCGAGAGTGAGAGAGAGAGAGAGAGAGTACTGCACTATATGCGAGTGTGACCACACGCGCGCTTAATGTGTGCTAGTGTGACCATACCGTGCATATAGATGCATGTGAACTAACGGGAAGTGAAGCGCCCCGCCAGCTAGAACCATGGCGAGCCCAGACCCAAAGAGTCTGCTAATTGAGGTCGTTGTCTAGGTAAGTCGTCTTCTCCTTCTCCTCCTCTGCTTCTGCTGCTTCCGTTTTGTGGCAGCTACAACTTGGAGATTCACTTGCAACAGCTCCAACGCCACAAAGCAGATCTGCGGATAAGACCAGCCAAAAGACAGTGCTCGAAAACAGTAAATTATGCCGGTGCTGCACACAACACCTCTTGCGGGTGGGGGGGGTGTTTTCCGGGGTTTGTAAGGAATTTGCACGCTGCACAGTGGTGCCGGGCCCTGCCACAGGACCAGATCAATGCAGTGGCACTCCAGTCTTCGAAATGCTAAGAAATGAAAGCCTAACAAATCGTTGTTTTTGATACCCTGTACCCCGTAATACAGACAAGGGTATGCTGCATGGATGTGTTCTTCTCCAACAGAGCTCAGTAGCGGGTATTCACCAGTCGGCATCTCCACGTATTTCCCCTCAAAATCATAGTAATGAAATTTCCCAATAAGAAAGCTTGCCCCACAGTGCCATGCAAAAAGCGGAAAATCAAAATGACAGATAGAGTCGGTCGGTCTCCGACTCCAGCCTCTGTGGCTCTGTGGCTCTGTGCCTTGCGCTGAGGCAGCAGTGAAAGCTCTCTGCGTCAGCGTTTTCCTCTCTCCCTCTCTCTCTCTCTCGTTCATCCGATCTGCTGCGACTGCTGTTTCAGCTGTACTGCTGCCGCCGATTCGGGGTGAGAACAAGAATTTCTGCCGCTGGCCATCTCCATCTTCAGCTCCAGCTCCAGCTCCGGGTCTAGGTCCAGCATTTGATAATAATTATCCCACAGCTAGCTGGCCACATAACTGCCCCTGATGATGATGATGATGATGGAGATGGAGATGGAGATGATGGGATGGAAACCGCAGCGGAAACGCTTTTAGTCTTCTATTATCGCGCTTCTATCCATCTATCGATCAGGTCCAACCTCATCTGTCTAAGGTCAAAGCACGGCGGCTAAATGCATATTAAGTAATTTCCACCAAGTGGGAAATACAAAAAAAACACCAAACAAAGGTAAATACCCGTTGATACTTATGGGGGTATATTTAGCGCACGTTTCCTTTTGGAAACCAATGTTCGCACCATACACTTGCAAACGGGTAATGTAATACGGCTAGAGCCATGATCAGCTGATCAACAGCTGAGTAATCGGACAGTTCTTAGAACAAGTTCAAACCGGAAGGTACTTGTAATATCCATCTTCGTTGATATAGAACGTCACAAATGATCGTAGAGTGTACAATAGCTGCCACAGCATGGATGATGGTGCACAGCCAGCTTCAATGATCAGCCAAATGGCAAGTGCAAAAATTAGTTGCGAAAATTGATTAACATCAAACTGGTTGGAGTTGGAGTTGGTGATGATGTTGGCGGTGGCGGTGGGGCCTAGGCTGGCTCCCTGGCCCCGTGGCGGCTGGCTTGGTAAATTTATGAAATTGCTGGTCAAAAGATTTTAATTGAATCTCCCATAAAAACTCAAACGCAAAAGATGTAAAAAAAAAGGAAAATAATAAAAATAATAATATAAATGTGGCAAAGGGGGGAAAAAATCAAATAAAAGGAAACGCAAACAAAAAGCGGCGACAAAGACAACAAACAGCGATGGTGATGATGATGATTGGGACATGTATATCAGCAGATACGAGTATCTGTATCTTTATACATCTGTGTGTACGTATAACTTATATTATTTGGCAACTTTTGCCATAAATATTTCACTGGGAAGCACTGAACCGAACTGAACTGAACTGAACTGATTCCGCAGATAAACTGGTTTCGCAGTTTATTGAATTTCATACATTTGCATCGCCCCAGCTCCAGCCCCAGCCACAGCCACGGCCCCATCCCCAGCCGACGAACAATAAACAATTTCAATAAGAAAACAAAAAGATGGACGGACGGGCATGCCTGCTCGTTAAGTTGCTCCCAAGGTATTTGACCCATCAGTAGCAGTGGCAGTACAGTGGCTGTAGAATCAGTCCCGCTCACCGTTCCCCGTTCACACCGATGCGCAATAGGCAGAGACCAAGAGAAAAGGTGCCTTGCCTCCCCTTTGAAGGAAAAAGTGTCAGCAGCTGCCTCAGCCTCAGCCTCAGCCTCAACCTCAGCGAGGGTCTTAAAGCCCAACTCGATTTGAATGGGAACCAGGGGACGGAGACAGCTTCTAGGGTTACCTACCCATTGAGATCCACACGCGCGATTCCATATTCATTCAGGAAGGATACTGCGCATTATTTCGCTCGTATTTGTCCACCCTTGACAAAGGGTTCTATAAACTTTTCCGACCCTCATTCCAAGTCAGTCTGTTTGGGGATCCACTGGCTTTTTTCTGCGTATATTCCAACGGTTCTCTTGTTAAGTTTTCTTTCACAGACTCATTTTTTTTTAAGTGCAGGCTGTTAGGTTGTTGGT